CTCACAGCCCTTCAACCAGTCAGCCTGTCTAGACCTGTTGGACAAACTCAGCAGTATCACAGTAGGGCATGCTGACAGTCCTCTTATGTGTTTTTAGTTTGGAATGAATATCAACTGTTAAAATTATTTACCATGATAATGTTTATAAGATATCTTGTACTGAATGCATTTTAACTAATTGTTTAACTAATGCCTTTTTATAAGGGATTTGTCATCTCATTAGTATGATGAATATGGTTTGCAAACATTGTATGAGGTTAATGCTTTATTAGCCAGACAGAAACAGTTTTTAGCCACCCTAATTTTAGGAATTACAGCTTTGATAGCTATTGCTACTTCAGTAACAGTTCAGCTGCAACTCTACCTAAGGAAATCCACACAGCAACCCTTGCTGATCAGTTATCTAGGAATGTTTCTATCACATTAGCTACTCAGAAGATTATAGATCGAAAGTTAAAAAGTAGAGTTAATGCTTTGGAGGGAGTAGTTTTAGTAGTAGGACAAAAGCTTGTGACTTTAAAGATAAAATTGGCTCTCCAGTATCACTCTGAGTTTAAATGGATTTGCCTCACTCCTTTAGAGGTAAATAAATCTGTCCACACTTGGGACAAAATAAAAAATCATATCCTTGGAATTTGGAATCATTCAGACTTGAGTATAGACCTTACTAAATCACACCAAGAATTACAGGACATAAATATCACTGAGAGACAGTTCCGGTTCTCAGAATTGGCCACTTCTATATTTAATAATTTCTCATCATTCCTCAACCAAAAGTCATTGATGTCTATACTCATTAATGTGGGAATTTGCAGAACAGCGATTCTTGTGTTGCTATGCCTGCTTCCAATTATTTTCAAGGTGCTGAAAAAAAATTTTTTCTCAACTCAACACCGAGTTCCATGGGTTCATGCTAAAAATAGAAAAGGGGGAGATGTTGGGAGCCAGCCATGGAGGCCCGCCTGAGCGTTAGGGATCCGGGTGGGCTGCAGACCCTGAGACCACCAGGTTTGGTTCAGGAGCTGAAGGCCCATTCCCTCCTCCTTTCTTTGTTGTTTAGCATTACCCACTGGCAGGGATTTTGATGATCTAAGCATGAAGTTCTGAGAATATGACAGGCATGGCTGACTCTAGGGATCCATTGTTCCCATTTCTCATAGACTGCGGTTTCGGCTTTAAACTTAACACGGTTCAAACTCAGATCACATTTGGGAGCCTTATACATGATACAAGCTTCTTTATAAGATTTAAAAATATATTTGTAGACCTTATATATCAGGATTAGGAAATAGAAACTTTTATAGAAATTAATATAGATACATAGCATTTTAGAATAGCCATTTTGTTAAGAGATCATAATCAATTGTTCCTAGGAGTGGCCCAGCTTGATCTTTGGGCTGGGCCACATTCTTTAGGATCTGGTTTGAGCTATAATTAAGAGTTGTTTATAGTACAGGTAAAATTAGAACAGATAAGAAAGGTATTAGGATTTTAGTCAGTTATATTGTTTTTGAGGACTATAAACCAAGCATAAGGACCAGTGAGATAATTTTGGAATTGTCCTTCCTCATGCTTGGGAAAATACCTGGTGGGTGGGGACACCCCCCACCTACCTGGCTTTGTGTTCACGTGAAAGTCTTGTGATTTGATTGGGATTGTCCTTCCTCATGCTTGGGAAAACGCCTGGTGGGTGGGGACACCCCCCACCTACCTGGCTTTATGTTCATGTGAAAGTCTTGTGATTTGATTGGGATTGTCCTTCCTCATGCTGGGGAAAACGCCTGATGGGTGGGGATGCCCCCCACCTACCTGGCTTTGTGTTCACCTGAAAGTCTTGTGATTTGATTGGGATTGTCCTTCCCCATACTTGGGAAAATGCCTGGTGGGTGGGGATGCCCCCCACCTACCTGGCTTTGTGTTCACGTGAAAGTCTTGTGACTTAATATGTGAAAGTTTGGGATAAAAGACTCACAGTTGGTCCCAATAAACAGCTTCTGCTCATTTCACTGAACAGTTGTCCACTTTCTCTCTTTCTCTTTCTTCCTCTTTATATCTATCCCTCCATCTTTCTTTCAATATCTATCCCTGCTACAGAATTGGCTTCTGCACTAGACAGAGTCCAGTCTCTTTCTTTCTCCTTATTTCTCCAGAATATTCGCCAATGCTGCCCCACCTTCCAGGGACCCTCTAAATCTCTTATTGGGGACTGCCCCCCATAAAGATACTATAATTTTGTTTCATCTTGGAAACAAATATTTTTTTTTCTTTTCAATTCAGCCCATGATCCAACTTCCCTTGGTCTTCAATATTTCAGTGCCTCTCTGTTAGCAATTGCTAACAGATAATAAGGATTAGCAGATAATAAAATAAAGTAAAAGGGAAAATTCAGAAGTGAGATTTCTTAAAATATCAGGGAAATTACATTTGAAATGCAGAGACCTATTCTCATTTAATAGGTTATATTTTCGGTCAGTAAAATTGTTACTAGTTCACAATATGGAATAAGTATGTCAGTATTTCAGGACATTCTTTTTGTCCACCTGCTCTTCCACGTTAACTGATTAGAAATTTTATCAGTCTATATCCACTCAGGAAAGCAGAAAACATTAATAATTTGATAGAAATAAGGATTGGGCTACACATGTATTGGAGAATTGAAAGACAAATGGGGAATTCTGTGAAGACAGAGGAGTGGGTAATCCACATATAAGGCTAGAGAGCAAAGAAAGGGAAGGGGCTGAGGTATTTGAAACCTGTGAATCTGGAGGAAGAACCTACAGAGGTGGAACACAGTCCTCTGAGGAACACTAACTAGAGGTGCTGATGTTTCTAAGGGAATGAGAAGAAGATAGTTCTGAGTGTGTGGGAAAAACTGGGAAAGGGAACCAACTGCCACTGCCAGGTGAAACAAAAATCGCTAGGGTGACGCATAACAATCCTTCTTCAGATTTCACTTCCCTCTAGCACCTCCTATTGACAGAGCCTAATAAAGGTCTACCAGCAAAGGAGAGAAAGATGGTTTGCAAAGCCCAAATCAACAACACAAAGTAATGTACAAAAAGGTAGCTTTGGAGCTGAGAGTTTCACAGTCAACAGCTGGGGCACATAGAGAATATGGAGAAAAGTGTTTCAGACAAGAATGCTGGCGTGTTTTCATGGTTTAAAAGAGCAACGTGAAGTCAGAAAATGAAGAGTAAGTAGAGCCATATGATTCCAGTTGAGGGTTTGTACGGATAAATAATGAGAGAGGAGATTATATTGAAAAGTCAAGTTGTAGTCAGCAGATGATGTTGAAAATTAAGAGGATAATTTTTCATTTCCATGACTTTCTTCTAATAGTAGTAAGGAGACAATGCAGTCTTTTACACAAGCATCAAAGTCTAGGGTTGAGAACTCGATTAGGAATCAAAAAGATCAGGCTCTTGCCAGTACTTTTATTTGTGACTTTGGAGCTGTTGCTTGACCTCTGTGAGCATTATCTTCTCCATCTAAAGTCCATCTGGGTTTTCAAAAATAGCTATACAATTAAAGCAGTTTTATAAACGTAGTGCTTATCCACTGCTCCAGTAGAGGAACTCATGATCATCCTAATGGATTTTTGTTGTTGTTGTTGTTGTTGTTCAAGAAGGATTTATTCATTTTTAATCAGGGAAAAGGACAATCTCAATGTCAACTTATCACCTAACCACAAATTTGAACGTACAGGATTCACTACCCTAGACAAGGACAAAATAACTTAAGATGAACTTCCTTCCATTCCCTAAAGTTGCACATTGAAAGAATAAACAAAAACTCTTGCAGCAACCAATACTGGTACTTGGCCCAGGTGTAAGGTGAAAAAACAGGAGCAAAAAACAGTCAAGAGCATAACTCAAGATACACCAGCAGGCAACATCATTGGAACAAAGGAAGTTGTAGGCACTAAATTAAGAGAGGCAGGTTCATCAGCATAAAAAACATTGTTATGATATCAACTACTCTGCATGTGAACGCGTATGCCACCAATCCCAGTAGCTAACAAGGAGACAAACAGTCCTAAATCAATTAACTACATTGAATGCAAAATTCAAAACTTGTCTCTACCCAGGTCTTCTAAAACCTAGATAAGGAACTTTCAATGTACCAGGAAGAGCCACTGTAATGACATGACTCATCACACCTATATCAACATTAACACAGACCTTGGGATTAAGATACTTTCTCCACTATTCCTGTGTCTGAATATGAAGTGCTTAACTACTCAGTTCATGCACTAATTGCATTTAAAATAAGTTTTACGATCATGACTTTCTCTAAACTCACACAGCATTAACAGTTAACTGTAGCATAACTCCCTCAAAATGCCCAGATTGGAAATATTTTGTCTTGTGACTGTGACAATACCAACAGAATGACTATTCTGCCACTACTTCAAATTTTAATCTAATTTCTGACCAAACTTTAATGGATCTCACACCTATCGGCCCAAATCCTTGTTGTAACTATTTTCAAAGCTTTTAAACTAGCTTCCGCTATAGAGTTTTACAGTGCTATTTCCTATATCTGGATTTTTAAAGAATTAAAATTATGGTATTATGATTAAAACTTTTTCTAGTAGACCAAAGTCAAAGAAGTAATTAACAACTGAAAAATGGCTTTGCAGAGATAAGAATAAAGCACAAGGAGCTATAATAACCTCTTCTGATCCAGAGAAACATGGCACACTAGAAAGTCACTACTATCACAACCTTATGGTTTAGTCTTACAACAATGCCCTTCAGATATCTAGATGGGAAAGAACATCATTCAAAAGAGTGGTGGAAGCTTCAGCAGCAGGGAAATAAAACCTCAGGAGCATAGAATACACCTGCAAATTGGGGGAAAAGGGTGACACCGTAGCTATTCATAAAAGACCAGCTTCTCCCTATGGACCAAACTCCCTACAAGATAAACTGTGCCTTAATTATTGCTTATTTAAAATAACATTTTTACAGAGCTATGCAGTATCTGACACAGAAAAACAATCACATGAGGAAGCACTTATTTGAGGTTTAACATGGAATCATACAAATAAAAATGTATACAAATCCACACTGAGTTGTAACACAGATAGCAAAGGACAAAGTAAGAACAAAGAAAACTAGTTGGCAGCTATATACAGTTGGACACAGCTGTGTCTTGTACACTAGAAAGTCTTTTACAAAATAATCATCTCAGATCAACAGAAGACCAATCTTCAATGTCGTCCTGCAAGATGGATTACTTTTAAAACATCTCCTCCTGCTTCCTCCAAGGTCCTCCTTTAGCATGACTGGTAATTGTTTTGGTGATTGCCACCCCCTCAAGATGCCTTGCCATAAAGTGCTCTGTTGGCCACTGTAGTCTGCATATGGCCACTGTAGTCTGCATATCCCTGTCCATATCCATAGTTTCCATAGTTATACCCAGTATAATCATATACGCCATAGCCACTATAATTTTGATCACCACCATAGGCACTATTGTAATTTCTATATCCTTGATCAGAATAGTTATTAAATCCTTGGTTCCAGTTTTGGCCCTGACCTAGGCCACGCCCCCTTGCCCTGCCTGGGCCACCAGCAGCAGCACCTCTCCCTCCTTTCTGCTGCTGCTGCCTGTAGACCTCTTTGGGTTGTGTGACTTTGATCTCACAATTCCCAGAGCCAGTTTGATGGTATCTATTCTCTAACGATTTTTTAACCAGCTCTTCATCTGTATATGTGATAAAACAAAATCCTCTTCTTTCATTTGTTTTTGTATCCATGGGAAGTTTGATGTTTTCAATCTCTCCGAAGGCTCCAAAATATTCTTTGATTTGTTCTTCGGATGTATCTGGGCTCAGTCCGCCCACAAACACCTTTTTTAGGAGGCTCTTTCCCTTTTAAAGCTTTGGCCCTTTGGGGGGTCTATCAATTTGCCATCTAGTTTGTGTTCTTTCAGTTCCAAAACCTTGTCAACACTAGAAGCATCTTTGAAAAGCACGAATCCAAATCCTCTTGATGGCCCAGTGACAGGGTCTGTTTTAATGGTGCAATCTACAACTTCCCCAAATCAAGACAAGTACTCAGTCAGGTCCTTCTTGCTTGTATCCCAGCTCAAGCCTCCAATAAACATTTTACCGTCATCCTGCTGGTTCTTGCTTGCGTTGATCTTGGATCCCTCCACGAACTCCTCTATGTTGCTGTACTCGTTCATTTCCTCCATGGCAGGGCACAGGGAGAGTGCGCGGGGCGCAGTGCAAGTCGAGGCAGCGGCAGAGTGTTGTATGGAGCTGGATTTAAAATGGCGGCAGAAGAACCCTAATGGATTTTAAAATGTGTTTTGATAATAAAGAGGTTGAATAAAATTCCCTTGTCAGCAAAAAATAAGAGAAAAAAAACTTAAAAATGTGAGTAGGAGTTTAAGAAGGCTGATTAAACACACACTGCAAGATTTTAGTGGGATAAGCCTCAGTTACAGGTTATCAGAGGTTTATAAATGTGAATGGTGTTACATTTTATCAAATGATTTGTTACTTCCATTGAGATTATCTTTTTTTGTATTTCCTTTAATATGTAAATACACTGAATTACAATGATAGATTTTCTAATAGCAAAACATCACTTGCAAACTATAATTGCTGCGTAGAATGAAGTAGGTACTGGAAGACTAGTTATCCTAATTAACATAGCACAAAAACTCATATACAATCAGACACTGTGTTTTTTAAGGCAGCAGAGAACTGCCAAGGCAGTGTGAACTGGAGGGGCCAAGGCTCCTGGGAGAGGGGCTGACTTCTACAGCCACTTTTACCTCAATTCTGGGAAGGCAGAACACTGAGATCAGGTTTTAAACATGTAGGGGACACAGCTGGGAGACAAAGAAATCAGTTGCCCTTAGCAGAGACTTGTTGGGAGCCAGCCTTGGAGGTCTGACTGACTGACAAAATCCAGGTGCGCTGAGGAACCCTCACTGCAAAGCAAGTCCAGGCAGCTGAGGCCCTTCTGTCTTCCGTCTTTGCTGTTGATACAGCCGAAGAATTCTGTACAGTCGAGCATGAAGGGAACAACACATTTATTTGAAGTACTCACAGCTAACCTGGGAATGTCATGGTTCATTTTTCCATTTCCCACCATGCCGTTTGGCCTTTTCTAACATATGCAATGGTTAAATTCTGAAGCACATCAAGAATGCTTTCTTTCACTTGGTTATAAGTTACTAGATATTGCTTGAGTAAAAAATGATATAAGTATATTCACTCCTTATTTGATTTAGCATTATGTAGTTTAGTGTTTAGACATAAGGTTTTTTAGAAGCACAAATTTATAGTAAGTTTATTATGAATTCATTATAAGTTCTAACACTTATCTAGGAGTTATGTAGGTGATTTATAACACTGTTTTCACAGATTTAGGATGAAGATTAATCATTAAAGTTTTTACTTAATTCAATAGTTAAATTTTTAAGTTAACAGATATAGAATAGGTTTTCACTAAATTCATAATATACTAATTGGATACTTTTATGATAAATTAACTAAATACAGAAAGCAACCTTGAGGGCCTGGGAAACATCAGTAAAAGCTTCTTTTGAGTTTTCTTTAGAAATATACACTGCACAATAAGAGAAAAGTAATAAAGACACCTGGATAGGAAAGGCAGTTACGAAGTTTTGAAGGTCATAGAAACCCCAGAGAAAACTCCTGATACATGGAGAAATGTGCACCTGGAAACTTTCTTGAGACATTTCAAGGACTGTAATTTGGGGCTTTGGACTAAAACTATCATTTTTGGCTTTAAGAATAAGACTCATTGACTGAAAGTAGATAATGTTCTTGGCTTGTTTGTTTCTTCTAAGACCACTAGATGGTGGTAACTTCTAAAGGATAATGTATGTGAAGGAATTTTCTTTGTCTTGCCCCTTTACGAATGGTATAAAAGCTCTCTGTTAACTAATAATAAATGACATCTGTCCTGCAAGCAGGTGTCCAAGTGTATTATTTCGTCATAAGTTCCTTCTTTCACCTAGACCATCTCTCCTTCAGGAAACCTCACACCCAGCAGGAGCAGGACTCCAGCAGAGACTCAGGGGCCCTCAAGGACATTATTTTCTCCCAAGGATAAATGGTTTGGTGCTATGTAAAGTAATAAGCTCAACCCCGGTTAGAGGTCTCTAGAAAGCTACAAAGCTTTTAGTGGTTTATAGGACAAGGATGTGAATATGTGAGAATGTGGAAAATATGGGGATATGTGAATTCATATTTCCTTGGGGAGTATTAGAGATTTTGACGGGAAATAATTATGAGAGAATGGCTTCAGAGTCTATGCCAAGTGTCCAGGGAGGTCACGACCCGGGTGGGGCATAGTGAATCATACTTTATACTCTAAGCACCAGGAAACCAACTTACCAGCTGAGGTCTTTAATCCCAGTTTTTCCCACACCTAGGAAAAATATATCACCTATGTTTTTATATTGTAATCCACCATTCCTTGGGGAGTTGAAGGAGGGTTGGGGATGTGAAAACTCAGAGTTAATTCCCATAAATTTTTCTGATTTCTTCACGAGAGCAAGGTTTCTCTGTGTCGCCCTGACTTTACTCCTGAGGGGACTGACTTAAACCTTCTTGATAGCTCCCTGGCCACTATATCTTGGGGTCTTGAAAATGGAAATTTGACAAGTTTTCTTATTCTTAAAGGAGCCCCAATTCTAAAATAGGCAAAGAAAAGAAGAAAAAAAAAGACCCTGGCAAGATTAGTCTAAGTAAAGAGAGAAGACTGAATTAAAAAGTTATATATCTTCATAATGACAATAAAGCAGAGAATGGAAATATAAAAATAAAAGATTGTCTATAACTATATTCCACCAACATTGAAAGCACAGATAAAATGGGAAACATACAGTAAAATAAATCTATTAAATAAGCTCAAGAAGAAGCATGAATTATCTTATAAATAGTAAGGCAACAAAAGTATCATTTAAAAACTTTATCATTTAATATTTTTAAAAGTAGTGGGAATAAATATTTTAAAAATTATTTTAGGCCATTGCCTTACTAGACTCTGGTGTGACCATGTGCTCTTTGAGCTATGGCTGTCACCATGTTTTCTTAAGCTTTGACCCCCTCCCCTCCCTTGGGGTGATGAATCCCCTCTTTCTCTCTCATTCTCTCCAATTTACTTTCTAAATAAACTATATTTTCTAATTTTAAAAAATCTTAAAATAGATTATCACTCTATTATAAATTTAAATTCTTGATCAGGCGCAGTAGCTCATGCCTATAATCCTAGCATTTGGGAGGCCGAGGCAGGAGGATTGTGTGAGCCCAGAAGTTCAAGACCATCCTAGGTAACATAGCAAGATCTTGTCTCTACAAAAAATTTAAAAAATAAGAATAAGCTGGGAATGTGGTGCACACCTATAGTTCCAGTTACTTGGGAGACTGAAGCAGGAGGATTGCCTGATCTTAGGGGGTCAAGACTGTGGTGAGCCTTGATCATGCCACTGCACTCCAGCCTACATGACAGAGTGAGACTCTGACTTAATAAATAAATTATTAACTACTAAATACACCAAGATTCACCAATTCTGCTCTTAGGATGCATGTACATGAATGCTTAGAACAGAGTAAAATTTGAAAACCACAAAACCGACAGTTTATAGGAAAGAAGATGTATAAACTATGCTGAAAGCACACAATAGGATTCATCTGCCAAAAGGAACTACAGTAAAATGCAGCAATTTGGACAAACCTTAAAAATGAAACATTTCATATAAAAAGAATATGTACAACATAATATATTTTATAAACTTAAAAACAATATATTTTAATAAAGTGTTAATTTGTTAAAATAATTTAACTGGGTAAGGAAAATAGTAATTATTTTATTTATTCAACAAAATATAGGGTAAAAAGATAGATTTAGAAGAATAGACACATGAATATATAAGGAAGGCCATACGAATCCAAGACAAGAGTTTGTCATGAACCAAAGATTATAATTAATTCAATTTAATGCATTAGAGGTCTATTAAAACACTATAAAAGAAAAAATATGATCATATACTGGTAATACTTTAGCAACAGTAAAATGTAAAGGGTAAAAAGCATTCTTTCCCCAACTGTAAATTCTGTAATGCAAAGAAATGTGAGAGTCTTTGCATTCCTATTTTTTCAAATTTTACCTATTATCTGGAGATCCACAGAGTTGGAGAGAGGACAGAAAAACCTGTGCCCAGACCCTTGAGGTGAGGAGTTTGGTGAGAAGGGCTGAGGGCACAGAGAATAGGTAGCATCAGAAGAAGGTCTCCTCTTCAGAGGGCTTGGGATAAGCTCTTTCCTGTGGATCCCAGCTCCACTTATCCTTGGTCCCTCGGTCATTGAGAAGGAGGAGATTAGAAGCAGAAGATAGGAGCTATTGTCTCCTATGAAATCCCAGTATGGGTTTGGTTTGTGGAGAATCCTCAGAGTAAATGAAGAGGCTAGAAGGTTGAGTGAAAATTCTGCTGAGTTTGATGGTGGAGCAAAACAGACCACTGGTAATTAAACCTAAATCAAGAAGGAATGATAAAGACCAAGACACAGCGTGAGCAGAAAATAGATCTATTGTCACTGCAGAGAAAAAAAAAATCAGAGGAAAACCAATGTCTAGTGAGCAACTGGGATAATGAATCAAACTGAAATATCAAAGGTAAAATATCCCAAGTTATTTTAGACCCGATTGGCCTCCAAGTTATAGGAAGGAGAGGGGCCAGGAAAAAGCATCAGACTTGGTTCTTTGTTGCTTCTCAGTGGACATCAGCACCCAGGACAGCAGCAGCCTCCAGAGCTGTGGCAGCCCCTAGAGCCCCCAGAGGATTCACACTCACAGTAGTGTAAGGGTCTGTAGCAGTGGGACTTCCCAGAGCTGCAGCAGCTCCCAGAACTGGAACCTCAGCAGGAAGAATCAGGGGCTGGGCATGGGGATGGACACAAAGGGGGACATTTAGAGGTGGGGAACTTTGGGAAGGGGTTGGCATGCTGTTTCTCCTGCTAACAGCACACCTCAGCTGGAGTGACAACAAATTTAAAGTAAAATTAAGGACAAATAAACTGCATCAAGCATAAAATAAGAATATTTTCTATTCAAACCATTACCACTGTGCTAGCAACATGTAAAGTATATTCTCATTCCAGAGCAAAATCCACCTACTCAATAAATACATTGCAGTTGACATTTAAGTTC